TTTGTGGCGCTCGAATTCGTCCAAAGGCATTTCCTCCATGACTTTCTGTGAAGAAAACATATAAAATGTGTATTTTAGTGACATTTTTTATTTTTTTTGCACGCCTACCAAATAATTTTCCAAGAAACTTTCAATGCGGTCCTCAACGAATGACGGATGCTTCGAGGATTGTACAATAATACGTATACCATTGGCACCATTCACTTTGCGTATGCCACTAAAGACGATGTAACCAAGTTGTTCCTGTCGAAGAAAAATTACAAACTCAATAAATAGAAGTATAGCTAAGGGTTAAAATATGTTTTTGTAAAAATCATCTACGTGCAACACACAAGCTTGCGTTTCCAGAAAAAAAAACAACAAGACCAATATCTCGCATTTTAGCGGCTACAAAATGCTTACAAAACAATTAAAATTAATTTTTAGATAAACATGTTTTGTTTAATAGTAACACCTTCAATGTTCATAGCATATTGAAAATAAAAATTCCATAGATACTTTTGCTAATTAGTTAGGTATTCGATTAGAATATTATTTTATTCACACACGCAACTGATGATGTACAATAATTAGCGGTCGCATGTATTTTTGTTGACAATTTATAACAATTGTTTATTGGATTACGGTAAGAGCATTCAAAATAGCAACTAAAATTGACTAGTCGCTTTTCATACTCTTAGGAAATGCTGGAACAAAAGGAACATGTGCCTCATTCCATATAAAGAAATCCTTATATTAACTTAGGACTAATCCAGAACTCATCCCGCATCAGTGTCATTATTTTTTTTTAGGGAACTAAGAGATGTTTAGATGTTTAAGCTAAATTTTTCTTATTCGACTAAACGGCATAATGTTATGGATAGCCTTTTTTTGAGCGTTATAAACACTGAAAAAGTAATTTCATATTACCCTTACACTCCGCTCCACTTGAATAGCGCACCCTTTTAATCCTCCGTATTTGCAGTTTTGCTTTTGTTTTATTAATATTAGGCGTCTTTTTTTTTACATGCATGCGTATTTGCGCTTATTGTATGGAGCTCTAAGCAACAAACTTTTTGTGAGCTTACGAATAGTTGTCGATAAAATCAAAATGATTTGTTTTGAAAAGGAAATTGTCGATGATTGTTCTTTTTTACACGTTAAGCGTAGATGTATATGCGTATAAAAAAACATGGCTATAAATATTTTTTTATAAAAATATAGCATATTTTAAAACAAAAAATATGTAAATCCATTTTTCAAACCTTATACAAATTAAAAAAAAAATCAAAAAAGAGTGCGCTATCCAAGTGACTGGCAGTGTATAAGTTATTAATATTTAAAAAAAAAATTCTATTGTTCTCTATTCAAGTCCGAGTTTCGAGTGGCTGCAAAATACCGTTAACATTTTTTGTTAACGGTGTCACCCATTTCCTGCACAAGGAGGTGGACAGGGCAGTGCTGGTGGTGTCGCCGGTGCTGGTATGGGTTTTGGCATGGGAGCTAATATGGGTGAACAAGGAGGTGGTGGTGCAGGAGCAGGTCGTTAAAAAAAAACACAATTAAGAATGCTGTGAAAATAATTAAAAAACTAAAATATAATAAGAGCAGTATAGGAAATCTTGGATTACTTTTATTTGTAAACATAAAGAATAGTTTAAAAAAGGGCGTGTGCACTTTAATAAAACTTAAACGTATGTTTTATATTTGAAATCACAGATTTTTTTGCATACTTTGCTCTGGTAAAATGAATTAATCGCTACTACAGCTAAAGGCTTTTCTGGTATGCACATATAGCTATGTAGGTATATGTATCTTAAAAAATATTCTAGAGGGGCCGACTAAAAGTTGGATTATTTCTCCGCACATCCATGACGAGCGTAGTAATTTACATTTCATTCCCCTTAACTTTGAAAACGGAATGGAAAGATAAACGTCTGATACCGTTATATCTGCTAAAATAATATCTATTTTCAACATATCGGAAATATCGAATATGACATAGGCGAAACTACGCTGGATAAGATGCACTTTATTTATTTAGAAAAATAGTAACCAGAGCTCCACAACTTTGATTTAAACTTCACAAAAAAATCCAGTGCTTTGTCATAAGGTTGGGAGCTACGTTTGAAGTCTCAAGTCTCTAGCTAAATAAAAGCTTGTAAAAAGAATTCTTAAGTTTTTGTTCTGTATACGAAATTTCATGATTAATAGGATCTGCTAAAGCCTAAATAAACACAGCAGCTCTGATTGGGCTTGGTTAGCTAATCATTCAGGTTAGCGATATTATATATATTATATTATTATAAGAAATAAAATTACGAGCTGCAAACTGATTTAAGGAATCCTGATAGATGAAAATTTCTCTTCAATTTCTTGGGAGTTCTTTATATGCATTATTGTTTATCTTGAGAGCTGGATACTATGCCAAAAGTTGTTTTGCGAGAACGAAATATTTTTCCAACTACTCAATCCGAGGGCCCAGAGAACATAGATAAAAGTTTCCGGTATTTCAGATATCAAAACAAAATATTAGATTTGTTCCATACGCTTTCCGGGCTGTTTCGGCAATTAGAGCGTAAAAATAAGTTACTCTCTCACAAGTGTCAAAAATGTGTCAAAGTGCCCAGAGCGTGAGGAACGCAAAAAACCACATTTCGTGCCCGGAATCAATAAATCAGCTCTAAACAATGATTTTATGTGTATTTATCTGTTTATACTTTTATATGGCTAGTAAAATTAGAAAATACATTTCTGAAACTTAAGTGCTATTTTCCATTTTTGTATCTTACAAAATTTGCTTTCGAATGTAAACAAACAGTAGCTATTATTTCAAGTTGACTTCTTGCACATTTCTCTCCGGAAAAAAAGTTTGGGCTGTTTCGGGCACGAAGAAGAAGACATTTACGATCCAAAAGTAGAAAGTCGGTTTTGTTTTTTGCTTAAAAATTACTTGTTTACATTTGTATTTATTTAATTTATATTCAGCATTGCATATTTGGTTATTATTTATTTACATATACTGCAGTAGGTGGTCCTATACCCGAATTCCGTAAGTCAACATCAAAATAGTAATATAAAATTTCGAACTTCATTTTATTTGTCCTGAATTCGAAAAAGAATTTTTGAAGTATGAGGATTTTTAAATAGAAACTTATAAAGAAAACCAACTCCCCATTGCGTCTGCATGACTTCTGCACGACTTTACAACTCACTTTAAGTTGGTTTTGTCATCATGTAAAATTGAGGTATTTATCAAAATCACCCCAAAAAATTAACTACAAGCTGTTAATTTTTAACAATTGATAGTTTTTCACTGCAGGGTAGTTTTGAACCAGACCCGAGAAATGAATTGTGGAATAATCTTGGAACATGCTATAAAGAGCAGTGCCGATATGAGCTGCTAAAATTGTTTAGAGCAATATGCCAAAGGATAGTTTCAGATTTAAATTTCATGCATTTCGCAAGAGCGCAACATTTTTATTAGGAATTGTACAGGTCAAATACTGAAAAATATTGTCATCCCATCTATACATATTTGCTAGAATATTAATAAATCGAAAAAGTTTTACTATATTTTTAACTAAGCAATTAAATGCGGGATTGCATGTTAGTTAGAAAATATTCAATTAACTTTATCTCAAATTATTACAGAATATGTAATAACAAAGTGCAAGCAAACTTTTGTATGTATTTATATCAATTAATAAGATTAGATCTGCATTATGTGAAATTTTCATGCAGAAGCAGAACTATAAAAAGTCACTGTGGTGACAAATTCAACAGGTAGTGCTGAATTGACTACAATCCCAGAAAGTGAGAAAACAATTTTTACGAAAAAAATGCGATCTCTAACTTTGGTCGCTTTGGTTTGCGCAGTTTTGGCGGCGATGTTGGTATGTAGGCATATTTTGACGAGGTTTCAATAAAGGATAACTATTCCATAAGTTATAGTTATCCTTGTATGCCTCTTCATGGTATGGAGTACTTACCATAAAGTATATTTTCTTTCCAGCATTCGACGAACGCTCAAATGCCGCAGATGCCCCCAATGCAGCAAATGCCTGGCACTAGTGCCTTTGCAAGTCGTGCACGTCGTGCTGCACAAGGAGGCGGTGGTGGTGCTGATGGCGGCGCTGGCGCCGGTATGGGTTTTGGCATGGGAGGTAATATGGGTGGCGGCGGTCAAGGACATGGAGGTGGCCATGGAGGTCATTAGTATAGCAATGTGCTAAAGGAAGTTATGAAAAAATATTTAATGCAATAAAACAGAGCAGTACAGAGAAAATTATTTAAGGATTTCATTTGAGTAAATAATAGACTGAAAGACTTTTTTGGAAATTTTCTTGTTTCGCATGACAAAAAGTGCATGATTTGACCAAGCACAATTTTTAAAATATTGCCTAGTCAAAGTATGCGACCAAGAATATTTCCAATATGGGTGACCCAGAAATAGTTACCTAAAACAATTGTTGGTGTTTTTGACTTTTTTCAATGCGTTTCCAAAAATTTTACAAGAACATTTTAAACACATAATCGTCTATTTAGAGGTATGACATTGTCTGCCCTGGAGCGACCGGTTAAGAGAATCCTTTTTTTTCGATGTGGCTCGGACTTCGGTCTTACGCAGAGTTAGTGCGCATCTCACAACACTTGGCTTCGGTGTCCGTCTATATAAGCCCTAACCCAGCGAAACAACTGTTTGGTATTGAGGTGAAACACAATTACTTAGGGTTGACTTACCTCTCAGGAGTTTAAGTATTTGTTGCTGCGCTGGTTGTGGCCCCATTTAAAAACTCAACTATGTAATGTTTCACAGAGTAACTTAATTTGTATTAGTATCGGGATATGCTATCTTTTTATGGAAACTTTTTTTACTATTTTCGTTAGTCGCTTAGGCTAACTCAAGTCGACAAAATTTTAACTATCCCATGCCGCTACTTTTTATACGATTTTGTCTGCAGATAACAACAGATAGCTAAGCGGAAATGAGAACCCTGGCCTAACTGAGGGTTACCTCGTGACTGGACAGATGGTGGCAGACCTCCCTGTTGATTGCGTGGGAATATTTTAAATTTTTTTCAACCATACCTAGGGGAAAACTACATTCCTGGCGAGTTGGATGGAAAGGGTTACCTTTCAATGATATTACCGGTCATGGAACGTCACTGATTAGATTTACTCTTTGACAGAGGTGCATCGTGTCAACTTAGCGAACGTTTGGGGAAAACTAGGGCATGGTCAATTACAAAGCTCTTCTGGCCCAGTGTGGATCAGCAGCAATCAAAGGAACTCCTTATGCTTACAAAAGCACAGCTCCTGTTTATTTTTCCATCGCTGTGAGACTAAAAACCTCAACCCGTAGTTGCTCTGAGGATGGTGAAGTGGAAACACCAATTGTTTGACGCTGTAACCAAATAAACGATTTTGAAGGAGTCCAATAAAGCACGCTGGCCGTTTCTCTTGTGTGCCAACTGATGCCAACACTTAGCTTTCGCGAGGCTAAGATTCACGAATATTGGGTCACAAATTATAACCACGGCTTAATATTAGCCGCCTTTGTAACTTGTGATTGGCCATGGAGTAGTAGATACATAGCGTCAACTTAACCTAACGAGTATCCTTCAAAATGAAGCAAAAGATGGAAAGATGAAGCAAAAAGACGAACCGGCTAAAAACTTAAAAGGCGTTATTTCGATATCTGAATTTTTAGAAATTGTCGTTCTTTCGCATGAACAAAATCTATTTTATAAGAAGAAAATATGCAACACCCTTGACAAAAAAAAAAATCTCAAAAACCAACGGTAAGTTTTAGCTACTTCAAACTTGCACTTTATTAGACTAGATTTTAAAGGGGCTATAAAACTGCATACAAGATTTTTAAATAACACAGTTCCCCAATATAATTTTGAAACGAGTTTTTTGTCATCTACTTAAGGCTTGTTTACTTTGTATTCCTGGAGTAACAGGGAATACCCCAAGTTTATAATCACTTTTTTCTTTATATCGAAGTACAGTATATTTTGCTTTGCTGCCTTTATGCTTAAGTGCACATTTAAGATACCTACCCCAAAATGCGCATCTGAGACATTATTTTTAACATTTATAAGGAAACTGCTCGGATAGATGCATTCAACATACCTGCACATTGGCGATACCTGCCTTAAAAATTGTGCAACTAGTATGAATTATCAAAGAAAGTATTACGTTTAACTGCACTGGCCCTGCAATTACCTAATTTTATAAGCATTTGTTTATTTTGCTCATATCGCAGAACAACGAAAATGGCTATCAATTTATGTAGTTATATAGGTAATAAGATACCGTTCGAAAAAAATTTCGCTTGCATTATATTCTACGTAATAAGTGCTTCTCCATTATTTGGTTCCGTAGGGAATCGGATACCTTCCTTCTTGAAGTAGTAAAGAAAATTCGCTTAAGTTCCTTTTTCGATTAGGTGCACAAGTTTTTCGTGCAAAGAAGGATGTTCAGCTAAGCAAAATATACTGTACTTCAACTTGAACATAGCATTTGGTTCAGTACAATATGTATTTCGTGCTAAAGAGTTAAGTTCATAATAAATAATTTCGGTAAAGTTGTATGAGTTGATGTTCAAATTATTATTAACCGACTTCACAAAAAGGAGGAGGTTATTTGTCGGAATATTTTTTTTTTTAAATGTATTCTACCGCATAACTTTGTACCGCGTCAAGCGATTTCCTTTTTTAAAGGAAAGGTGGTCCCATACTTACTTTGGATCACGTTAACCGATTTCTATAATTCTATTTTTATACCCGAGCGCACTTGTGCACAAGGGTATATTAATTTTGTTCACATAACGGTTGTTTGTAACAGCCAAAACGAATCGAGATAGATATAGACAAATGTATACATAAATGATCAGGATGAAAAAAGAAATCGATTAAGCCATGTCTGTCTGTCCGTCCGTCTGTCCGTCTGTCCGTCTGTCCGTCTGTCCGTGTACACGATAACTCGAGCAAAAATTGAGATATCTTAACGAAATTTGGTATGTAGGTTTCCCTTAATCCAAGGTAGGTTGGTATTGAAAATGGGCGAAATCGGACTTTAACCACGCCCACTTCCCATATAACGGTAATTTCCAGAAATACGAAAACTGCGATATTTTAGTAACTACTAAAGATAATTCACTCAAAATTGATATTTATAATAAGTTTTAGACGAAAAATAAGAATATTATAAATTTTTGGAAAATGGGCGTAGCCACGCCCACTTATGGTTATATGTGTATATCTTGGTAACCGCTGCACCAATTTCTTCCAAACTTGGCACAGTTGTTGGCCTTCGCACAACATACTAAATGGCCGAAAATTTTTAAAATCGCTCAATAACCACGCCTACTTCCCATATAACGGTAATTTTCAGAAATACGAAAACTGCGATATTTTAGTAACTACTGGAGATTATTCGCTCAAAATTGATATTTACAATAATTTTTCGACGAAAAATAAGAATATTATAAATTTTTGGAAAATGGGCGTAGCCACGCCCACTTATGGTTACATGTGTATATCTTGGTAACCGCTGCACCAATTTCTTCCAAACTTGGCACAGTTGTTGGCCCTGGTACAGCATAAAAAATCGCCGAAACTTTTTAAAATCGGACAATAACCACGCCCACATCCCATATAACGGTAATTTAGAGAAATACAAAATCTTCGATAAATCAGTAAATATTGAAGCTAATTTATTCAAAATTGATACTTGCAACAATTCTTTACCAAGAAATACGTTTATGGTAAAATTTTGGAAAATGGGCATGGCACCGCCCACTTATGATCACATATATGTATATCGGTAACCGTTCTACCAATTTGTACCAAACTCGGTGTGGTTATTGTGCTTGCCACATATAAGCAAAACGTTGAAAATTATTGAAATCGGACTAAAATAACGGCCGCTTCTCATATAACGGTAAATTTCAGAAATGCTTGAAACTTCAATATTTCGAAATTGAAGGACGCTAATTTACTCAAAATTGATACACCCCGGCTTACCATCTAGCGGAAGGTTTCGGAAAGGTGAAAAAACATATTTAATACTTGCGCCGGGTATTTAATGTTCGGCTCCGCCCGAACTTAGACTTTCTTACTTGTTAATACTAATTTGGTTTAAATTCGATCATTGGATCATGAAGAAAATTAAGGGAAATCTTAAATTTGTATATGAGAATTGAAGTCGGTTTTTGTTTTTTGCTTAAAAATTACTTGTTTTTGTGAAATTTGAGGTGAATGAATTATAATTGGAATTGGTGATAATTTTTTATCAGTAAAAGATTTTGTTTTATTTTCTTCTTCTTTATTGACGCTGTAACCACCTAAGCGATTTTGGCCGAGTCCAAAACAGCACGCCAGTCGTTTCTCGTATGTGCCAACTAACGCCAATTGGAAATGCCAAGTGAAGCCAAGTCCTTCTCCACCTGGTCTTTCCAACGCAGAGAAGGTCTTCCTCTTCCTCTGTTTCGAGCATCGGGATCCGCGTTGAATACTTTCAGAGCTGGAGCGTTTCTGTCCATCCGAACGACATATGTATGTACCTAGCCAGCGAAGTCGCTGGATTTTAATTCCCTGCACTATGCCTATATCGTTGTAAAGCTCATACAGCTCATCGGCAAATCGTTGGCGGTATTCACCACCGCCAACGCGCAAAGTCCCGTAAATCTTGCGCAGAATCTTTCGCTAGAAAACTGCAAGAGCCGCCTCATCAGATGCTTTCATTATCCATGCCTCCGCGGCATACACCAGCACAGGCATGATGAGTGACTTATAGAGTGTGATCTTTGTACGACGAGAGAGGACTTTACTTCTCAATTGCCTACTCAGTCCAAAGTAGCACTTCTTGGCAAGAGTTATTCTGCGAGACATTATTATTGGTGTTAATGGTGGCTCCAAAGTACACGAAGTCGTCTACTTTGTTCAAACTTGTAACTGTCAACAGTGACGTGGGTGACAAGGCGCGCATGCTTTGACTGTTTGTGTGATGACAAGAGATACATACTTCATTTTGTCCTCGTTCACCACCAGATCCATTCGCTTTGCTGCTCTATCTAATCCCGAGAAGGCAGAACAGACGTAGGTAGCCCTTGTTATTACCGATAATGTCGATGTCATCGGCATACGCCAGCAATTGTACGCTCTTGTAAAGTATTATGCCAGAGAGATTCACTTCTGCGGCTCTTATTACCTTCTCCAACATCAGATCATCACACAAAAGGGAGTCACCTTGTCTGAAACCTCGCTTGGTATCGAACGGCTCGGAGAGGTCCTTCCCAATTCTGACTGAGCTTTGAAATAGATAGTGTGTGTCGATCCTATTTTCGCGGGTATTTTCCTTGTTATATTTTACTGACCAAAAACGCCAGGCATTTTTTTTTTTCAAAATTCATCTACATGCGCTATGAAAATAATGTTGTTCGCGTTTTTTTGCAGTTACGGTCAGTTATGGCTAGTTAAATATTTATTGAATTTTTTAACTTGTGGAACATATCGCCTAATGCTGGATTTCCACTAGGCATTAAATGGTAGAAATTTTAATGTTATTACTTTTAAAAAATAGTCATTAAATTCTTTTAACACTTTTTTGTCATTCCAATGCCTAGTGGAAATTCAGCATAACTTGCCATAGGTCGCATGTATTTTTGTAAACGATTTTTTTTTCACGGTTTTCTATAGAACGTATCTGCCGTGTAAACAAAGAGTTAGGCATAATTACATTAATAAAAATAACTATTTTTAAAAATGTTCATATGAATAACATTCTATTAAAACTTGCATTCAATTAAGGCATTATTTTGTCTGTGTTATCGGTATTGGGTAATTAGCAAAATGTATTTAATTTGTTCATACTTTGGTTTATCTCAGAGCTATCACAAAATATCAACTAATTTTGTAGTTGTCCGAATATAAATTTGCGTGTCAATCGAAGATATGCACACACACACACACATAAGATTATTGCATGAGATTTTTAATGAGTTAAATTTTCACATTGCGAAACTTTGCATTAAAAGTAGGACTATAAAAAGTCAGTGTGGGTCTACCGCTCGGCAAGTAGTGTTGAGTTGACAAGAGTCTACCAAAGAGGTTTTTGAAAGCATGCGAGGTCTAACAATAATCGTTTTGGTTTGCTGCGCATTGGCCGTAATGTTGGTAAGTGCAATAATAAATTAAGAAAAGGAAAAAATATTTTCATAAGGATACAAAATATCCGAACGCTCTACCAAGTTTTACAGTACACAATTTCAAAACGAATCCATATGTATGTACATTAGGGTAGTCCAAAAACAGTAAAGTCGGATAATGCACTCATCCCCTAGGATTGTACTATATCGAAAAAAGTATACCGCTATTTTTACATTTTGAAATCAAAAAATATTTAGAGGTCGCTCAAAGCGCTCAAGGTTTTCCATGTATTTTTGTAAGGGAAAAAAGCGCCTTTCCGTAGAAATGGTATAGAATTCTTGAAAAACAAAATTTTTCGATTGGAAAGCTCTGGTTCTCTTCAGAGGACTTTCAATAACAATGCCCAATTGTTTATTTAACCATTTTTTAATACAAACGATTTTTTATTGGTCCTCTAATTGCATTTTTCGGAGTTTTTGTGGGTTTTTGGCAGACCGCCGATGAGGCGGCTCTTGGGGTGTTTGAGAGAAAGATTTTGCGGAAGATTTACGGTCCTTTACGCGTTGGCGACGGCGAGTACCGCAGACGATGGAACGATGAGCTGTATGAGCTTTACAACGATATGGACATAGTGCAGCGAATTAAAATACAGCGGCTCCGCTGGCTTGGTCATGTCGTTCGAATGGACACCGACACTCCAGCTCTGAAAGTATTCAACTCGGAACCCTCTGGTGGTAGCAGAGGAAGAGGGAGGCCCCCACTGCGATGGAAGATCAGGTGGAGAAGGACTTGGCTTCACTTGGCGTTTCCAATTGGCGTCAGTTGGCACAGAGGAGAAACGACTGGCGTGCTTTGCTGAACTCGGCAAAAATCGCTTAGGCGGTTACAGCGCCAAAAAAGAAGAAGAGAAGAATAAATTATAGTTATGATGAAAAAATTGTTAAATAGACAATTGGGTATTATTACTGGGAATCTCCTGCAGAGAAGCAGAGCTTTTCGATCGAAAAATATTGGTTTTTAAGAATTCTATGCCATTTCTACGAAAAGTTGTTTTTCCCATATAAAAATACATGGAAAACTTTGAGCGCTTTGAGCAACCTTTAAATATTCTTTGATTCCAAAAAAAACGGGGTATACTTTTTTTGGGTATAGAACAGTCCTCGGGGGTGAGAGCATACAAATTCCGACTTTACTTTTTCACATGCATTTTTGTACCACCCTAATGTGCATACACTAAGCATTCAACTGATTTTCCGAAATTCATTTTGTAGCACTCTGCAAAGGCGCAGGGAGCACCTCAATCGGCCCCAATGCCTCATCCATCCGGTCATAAAGGCATAGAAGGTCGTTATCGTCGTGCTGCTCAAGGAGGTGGCGCTGGTGGTGGTGCGGGTGCTGGTGGCGGTTTTGGATTTAACATGGGCGGTGGAGCTAGAGGACAAGCAGGCGCAGGTGGTCAAGGTGGCAATTAACAATAACACCAATAACGGATGAACTTGGAAAAAAATTTATCAAAATATTTGAAACACAACAATAAATTATCGAAAAATAAACAATTGTCATTTCCAAAAGCACCTCCTTTTTATTTAGATTTGGAGATGTTAAAAACGAGTTTTGGGACATTTTAACTCTGCATTAACAGGGAAAGAATGTTATGGAAATTGTCTTTTTTTCGGCTAAAAAGATATAGTACATTCGATTAGGAATGCACATGTTTTAGCTTTCCCTGATGCCATATATACACATTTCATGTTGCCTCTTTTAAGATATTTGCCTCTCTGCGTTTAATTGTAAAGGACAATGAAAAAGCCCTTATTCCCAATAATATGAAAGTTTAGTACATTCCTTTGCGAAAATCAAATGAAAATGCTGCCAGAAAACTTCAAAATGCATCTTGTGGTTCAATGTTACTACAAGTATAGAGATTAAAGTTTTGTGAGTTAAAAACTCGTAAGGAGAAAATTGTTAGATTCAAAGTAAAAAAATTTCATATGATGAAACTAGTTCATAGTTTTCTCTTTTTACTTGTTAAATAAAAATTTCTCAAATAAATGTGTTCTTTGATAATTTTTCGGTTTTTGTCTTTTTTAGTGCCTTCTTTAGCCTTTTTGCAATTTCTAGTGCCTTTTTTTTATTTTGAATTTTGTAGCCTATTTCGTTATTTTATTTTGCATTTTTGATAAGTTTTGATGTCCTAAAAATCCTAGTAAATTCGTACTTATTTTGGAGCCCTGAGTCTTAAGTAAGAATTTAAAAGTTAATTATGATAGATTTTGGTTTAGGTTAGAGAGGAAAAACGAGGCACTTTTTGAAGTTTGATTTCAGATTACGATTCCTAGTATAAGCTAGTCACGCTTACCGGATAAACAAACATTTCCATTACGGGGCTGTTTAATTCTATGTTTCTTTTATAGGAGGTTTGTGAGAAATTTGAACGTATTGAGCACCGCCAGTGCTATTTGCTCACTTTTCTCTCCCTGTTACCTAGGTCCTCGATTAAGTATATTTGGACTTACTGCTAAAAATGACACAGGCTCAGTAGAAATTCTGGTATTCAAGAGCGGGGAAATCGGGGGAATGCTTTAATTTTTACAAAACAGCTATTTCAAAATAAATCCTCTCTTGATTTTACAATTAAAAATATTTCTAGAAATTTCTTATATACATACATATGTACATATACGACAGATAGGCTTTGCGCAATACACTCCGAAGCAATAGTTTTATATATTATTAAAAAATATTGTCCTTATTATCTCATTATAATAATTAGAGAATGAAGTGCTTTAAATAGTAAAAGTTATTTTGGGGGGATACCATAGGGGAATTGGTTCAGGAATTTGGGGGAATTCGAGTTAAAAGAGTTGGAATCCCTGCCTGGTGCCCACATCACGCGGATATCATTGTACCAATCGTTGAAGGTAAGTTTCCCTCTATGATCTAATACTCAAGAGGATTTCATATCGAATAATGAAAAATTCTTGAGTACCGGCTGGCTATCACTTAAGATTAAGTAATGCTATGTTGGACTACGAAACATGCGATTTATATTACTGGGAAACACTTTTTTAAGTGTCTGGACAGCTTTGAATCTGTCTCACTCACTAGGCGCGGTATGCATGCATTCCAAACAAAGATCGTAAAGTTTTGAATACATAGAGTGATAGGTTGCGCGTACTTCCGCCCAATAGGACCTAGCAGCGATCCCTGGTCCGAGCAACATCTAAGTAATAGAAAAAGTTGTGCCATAAAAAAGGACAATGAAAATTTTTAATTTATTCATAGAAAGGAAAATGCCATGAGCTAAACCTCCGATTTTCTAATTAATTGGTTTAATTGCAAAAACGTCAATATGCGTTTCCATCAAAAAAAACTAAATTTATTATATCCATGATCCTGGCCTACTATATTTCAACTGGTCGATAGCCGTAAATCTATCCTATCTTGAAGGCTGTTCGAAATATCATCTCAACTCGATGAAATATCTTTACTTTGCTGTGAGACAAACTACCGTAACTCAGACGAGCGACTATTTTTGTATCATTGACTGAAGAAATCGGCTTTTGCAATTTTCCTCTGGTGAAACGGTTTTCTATGCATTACCAACAAACCGAAAAATTATAGGTTCTTGTAGTAAAAATCCTATCGGTATGAAAAATCGGTCGCTACTGCGCACCCCTAGCAATAGTAATTATGCAACTAACAAAATTTGTTTAATTTGTTAACGCTTTTGTTTATCACTTTTTGCTATCACTATCACAAAATATCATCGAATTTTTTTAGTCGCCAGAAATAAATTTTGCATTGCATGTCGAATGAAAATATGCGCACATCCGATTATTGCATGAGATTATTTCTATGAATGAAAATTTTTAATGTGAGAAATTTCAGTTTGAAAGCAGTACTAACTATAAATAGTGAGTTATGGTTGATAATTCGGCAAGTATCTAGTATTCAATCGAAGGCAATATAGCGAAGTTGTTCTAAAATCATGCGAGGGATTATAGTGATCGCTTTGGTTTGCTGCGCTTTGGCAGTGATGTTGGTAAGTGGAATTTAAAATGTAAAACAAAAAATATTCTGATCAGGATAAAAATATCCTCACCGCACTATAAAAAAATTTTTTGAGTATGCAATTTCGGCGATTTTGCGATTGCTTTAATTTCAAATTTTTAACTAATAAAGTCAGTGACTATTTGAATTTCTCGCGCATGTTACACTGCTCTCGCCAACTGCCATCGACTGATAGACTACTGTCTTATTTTTTCAGCACTCTGCAAAGGCTCAGCGCGGACCACAATCGGCCCCAATGCCTCATCCATCCGGTAATAAAGGCATAGAAGGCCGCTATCGTCGTGAGGCACAAGGAGGTGGCGGTGGTGGTGGTAGCGCTGGTGCTGGTGGAGGTTTTGGATTTGGATTTAACATGGGTGGAGGAGCCGGCGGACAAGCAGGTGGAGAAGGTGGCAAGTAAAAGAAACTCTGGGAGTAGATAAAATTGTACAATCTTTGATTGAGATATTTGAATTAAAGCCGTGAATGTTAGAAAAACTGCGATAATTGATTGCTTTATTTTAGTTTAAAAAAACTGAGTTAAAAATTATTAACAACATGTTTTGTTACCATTTCTAAAGTCTTGATAAGGAAACAATTACTTTTTAAGCAAAAAACAAAACCGACTTCAATTCTCATATGAAAATTTAAGAATAACGTTAATTTCTTCATGATCCAATGAAACCAAACCAAATTTGTACGAGACCACCTGAGGTTCCAGCTTTCCTCTAAAAATAGAATTATAGTAATCGGTTAACGTGGTCCAAATTTATGCGGTAACAAACAAAAAAAAAATTCCGACGAATCCATAACCTGCTTTTTTTTTTGAAGTCGGATAAAAAGGCCAAGCAGAAGATTTTAAATGGAAGGTGTCTCTCCGACTTAAAATTAATAGAGAGAGAAGGGGCTATTAAGTATACATGTATCAGTTTGGTCAGATAACCTAAGAATTTACATAAAAAGAATTTGATGTGAGAATACCGTTACTTCTTAGCTTCAAAGGATCAACGATACTATACTATAATATTAGATGTTTAGAGGCTAGAAAGTAAAAGTTATACCATTTTTTAATTCTGATTCAGGCTTGGCTTCAGCGACTCAAAATTTTTTGATTATTTTTTAATAGTTTAATAACGTAACGGAAGGTTTGCCACTTGCAGATGGAGAGCGACCTGTTAACGCTGTTAAAACAAAAAATCTTTTTTAATTTATATGTTGCTCACATCAAGGATCAAACCCAGGTCCTACGGAGTGGTAGTACGCACCTCTAACTACTCAGCCACAGCGGGTCATTTACACAGATAAAAAAATTAGGGACGAACTATACTGAATTCGACTCTAGACTGAACTCGAATCGGTCAGAATGGAAAGGTTGCCTCGTTTTTTTTTCTATCCTCAAAACTCATCACAACCTGCAGTCAATGGTACCTAATTTTTCAATGTCTTGTCAGATAGCCAGTACAAGATCTAAGACCATCCCCACTAAGTTCAAGGAGCCTTTCGGAGTTCCTCCTAGACGGAGCTACGAATCTCTTTCATTGTATCATTTCCTTTTACTTCCGCTGGTGGGCAGCAGTTCTTTCCGGTTACTAAGTAGCCCTGCGGCGTATCCTCTTGATGTACCCCAGAAAAGATGAACGCGCATTTGGTCCACACGTTTTGCGTTTGTTGCACCCGACCCGTCGGTACACCATACTTGGGATCCTTCGTCTATCATAGAAATTATCGCTTCACAGCAGTCCCTTTCAGGATTTCTAACCTTAATGGGCTTGTAGGAGGATAATTTCGGTAGCATAATGTCTGTGAGCCGGATAGCGGAGTGGCTTGAGAACCTCATAGTGACCCCGAAGATCCCTACTTTTCATGCAGATTGTATTGGGCAGCAGCCGTAGGGCGCTCCAGCAGGCATCCTTTTCAATCAATTTGGTCTTCGATTTTCAAGTAACGCCATCAATGGTCTTCATAAAGTTAGGCACTGGCTAGCGTGCCTAACCTAACCTAACCTGTCTGTTGGTTTTATCTTCCCAGTGCAAAGCAAAGCCAGTGCTGTTGGGTCACTTCTCTCCTCCTGTTCTTGAGCGCTCTTTTTGGAAATTGGAGTTGTTGCTCTTCTGTTTTTTTGCCTAGTCTATTTGCTCATTCCCGCGACAGCCTTGTGACGTGGCATCAAAACAGCAAGCGGATATTAGTGTACGAGTAACTATCAAGGTATGTAGTAAATTTTTTCGTTTACGTAAGTTTATCTCTGCACACAGGTCGATGGCATATTCATAGTACTATAAATATATATGAAGCATAAGATGAATTAAAACAACAAAAAATTCCGCCTGAAAGACGCTTATTCAAAATAGCCACCGAGAGCTCAGCTCTAAGGCATAAGGTGTCTTCCTGTTGGCACTGAGCGCATTGTTTTGGAACATTCAGAGGCTCCTTTACGAATGCCGTCACACTGAATTACGAGATGCGCAGAACGTCGTCACCTCTGTTATAGACCCAAGTGGGCATTCGTACATGGGGTGCTATTGCTTGTGCACGACTGTGGCGATTCGAACATACATAGCAGAAAAACAAATCAAAAAATTATTAGGGCAAAACTCAAATTACGGTTGAAAAAAAACTCATTTATACATATCGCACACCGTCTTCAAAAGAGTCACAACTCAAGATTTAGCATTTTTGAAATTATGCGCTACAAATGTACACAGAGCTTTTATTTAGCTTTCAGCAAAAGCTGGAGCAATGTTTTGTTATAATTACAAAATAGTTTTTCGCATTTTCTGACGAACGTATTATTTTGAGTTTTGACTCTTTTGAAGACGGTGTGCGATATGTAAACAAAGTTCAAAAACCTCTTTGAGTGAATAGAATTTTTGAGTGCGTTTAACAGTTATCAGGATACATATCAGACGCATGTTGAAAGAATATCATAATAATCTGGAAACATAAGAAGGAAAAAACTTACTGATATCTTTTAAACATTTTTCCCACATTTATTTTTGTTTTTAGTTATGACGTTCTTCCAATAATCGAGCTTACATTATAAGCGCAACCAAAAATTTGAGCTACAATTAATGATGCCATTAATTCGAGCCCGTAGCAAAAAACAAAAAACCAAAAATTTAACTATTTAATTAGCAAAATATTTATCTCTTTGCAAGAATTATTTATTGTGATAAATTGCGTAGTAAGCCAATATACTATGTATTGTATGAATATCAAAACATCAAAAACACGTGTCCTATTAAATCATAATTAATTTATTACATTACATATCCATGCGTGAACCGTTCGTATTTTGTATCGTACTTTAATACTCTTATCTTTTAAAAAATAATTAGATCTGAATCTGAACTATATAAAGCGCGTGTGATGACCGCGTGGGCAAGTAATTTGTTTCAGCTGTGGTCCAGTGAAGTTAAGCAAGGCTCATTTGTAAAAAAATGCGTATTCTAACATTAACTTTTTTAGTGGGCTGCGTACTGCCACTGATATTGGTAAGTCGGAAGCAAAATCCAAATAAAATACAATAAAAATATATAATTCTAGGGCTCGGTGAAAGCCCAAACCCACAGCACTAATAGTGAACAAGGACACTCAAGGGGACAAATACATTTACTACCAAGTGGCAACAAAGCTCTAATGTGCGGCGGGATGTGTGATATGGACACTAGCGTGGATAGAAAGAGATCTGACATAGGCGTAAGTGGGCCTGGTGTGACTAAAAGGGGTCTTAGAATGGATAAAATGAGATTTGTCAAGAGGAGAATCGAACCTGACATGGCCGGAAATCAGCAAGACCCAGTAAGCCAGGGTGGCCAGGTAGTAATTTTTCTAAAAAAAAAAAACCCATAATCATCAATCAACATATGCTAAAACAACTTATTTTCCAGACTTGGGTTAGCCTCCAAAATACTACTAGTAATAGTAGACAAATACAAACAAGTTCAAGCGGACAAGGATCTTCGAGCTCAGCCATGGGTGGTATGGGATCCGGAATGAATGGAATGGGACCTGGCATGGGTGGTATGGGATCAGGAACAAATGGAATGGGGCCTGGTGTGGGTGGAATGGGAACCGGTACGGGAGGAATGGGAACCAGTATGAGACCTGGTATGAGTGGAATGGTATTTCGAAATTTTTCCCGTTCAAAAAGCATATTGAAATAAATTTTATTATTAATAATTGCAGGCCCATCAAGTTCAAGCGGGCAAGGGTCATCGAACTCAAGCATGGGTGGTATGGGATCCGGAATGAATGGACTGGGGTCAAGCATGAGTGGAATGGGAGCTGGCATGGGAGGAATGGGATCCGGAATGAGTGGAATGGGATCTGGTATGGGAGGAATGGGGTCTGGCACGGGAGGAATGGGGTCTGGCATGGGAGGAATGGGATCTGGTATGGAATCCGGAATGAGTGGAATGGGGCCCGGGATGAGTGG